GTCAGCTCACCTGAATGAAAATGAGCTTTGGTTTCCCTGCTAATGTTGGACACTTGTCTCCCTTCAGAGGGGCTAGTAATATATCCACCTCCACTATACCATCAGTTCCATAAACAATTCCCTCGTCCCCATGTGACATAACAACCAAAGCCAGACAATCATTTTTGGAGTGATTACGGCGACCAACTGAAATAATAATAATAATAATAATAATAATAATAGTTCATTTTCCACAGCTAAATTAAAGAAAATAGATTAGAAAACAAGTTTAACTTTCCATGATAGAAATACTGGTAGAATTTAAGCAATCTTGAAAGCAAATGGCAAAAAAATTCATGCTGACATGAGGCTTGGATGCATGTGAAAGTAAGCAGATAATTACTGAGTCGACAGGCTAAATGTTTAGATGCAATATGTAACCAGACAAATATTCCTTACTATTTCTTATATAAATAATAATTATAAATAAAAGGAACTGCTGACTGCTACAGTATGAATTCATGAAAACACTTAATCTTCTATAAGAATTAGAATAAAAGGCAGACGTACTTAATTCAACAGCGAAATGCTTTAGATTGAATAAAAACGGATTTTTATCATTACTTCTCACCTTCACGCATGGTTCTTAACATCTGCGAACATGTTAAGTTCTCATAAGGCTCTACAACAAAACCCAGTGCCTCAAATCTGTTCTTAATCCCTTCTGCATCCTGCTTTGTACCTCGTCTCTCCTCCTTGTCAGTTTGTGGTTGAAAGACTTGATTGTTAATGACGATGGCATATCCTCTTTTTTTATGAGTCATCTTGTACTTCATGTCATGGTCTCCTAGAACTAAAAAATAAATAAATAAATAAATAAATAAATAAAAAACATCAATTTCACCTTAATTTAATTGAAATTAATTTAATGGTTTGAATCCCAGATTACCCTACCCTCTACCAGGACCACATATCGATTTTTCACTCGATATTCACAAATATGTCTCTGGCTAATTCATGTGCACATAATTGATCTGTGGCCCTGGTTAACTTTAAAGATTACATGCAGGAATCCAACCCTTTGATTGCAATCCATACCTAAATTTCACCTCATTAACTTAAATGAAACTCTCTCTCTCTCTCTCTCTCTCTCTCTCACACGCGCGCACACACACACACACACACACACACACACTCTGACTGTGCTGCACATACAGATACAGATCGAGACAGTTCAGATACTGGCGTAACTTACCAAAACAGCCAAACAGACACGTACATAGTTTAAGTAAAAACGACTTTAAAAAAATTACTTGTCACATTTCATTTAACATTAAGATCACTGAATTAAGAAAAATTACATGCATCTCATTTTTTATAACCATGCCACATAATCAGCAATGACAATTTCTTTGTATTTATAAAAGGCACAAACTCATTTCATCTTTAGTGTCCTCCATCTTGCAGATCTTGTATTCCCTATGAGGTGTACAAGTGGTCAGTCTGAAGAGCTGCAGGTAGAACTCCAGCTTTTATACATACTTAACATAATAAATGTGAATCACTTCAGGTTTAAAATATACACCTGAAAATACCAAGCCACAGTGACTAATGGGGAATTCGAAACACCTCATAACTTTGAACAATGGCTTCTTTTCTTTCTTCGCCACTTCAGACCCAGCTCAGTCCTGAGCATAATATCAAAGGAATATTGTTGAAAGCAAATAATGTGTCATCCACTTTCACTTTCTCATCAGAAAAGAAAGTTGAATTGATTTCTTTTGAATTTGATATGACTCTACTATATATTGTCACAAACTTTCACTTTCTCATTAGAAAAGAAAGTTCAATTCATTTGAATTGGAAATGACTCCATATTGTCATACCTCAGGAACATGTTTTAACCTCAGGAAAATTGTATTTAAAATATGTTAACCAAATATACTAGTTAACATAATGAGATAATAAATTAATTAACATTTAATTGAGAAAATGAAAGTACAGCTATATATAATAATATGAATTTCAAAGTAAATATGACTACATGGTTGAATGCTCTCATACAAATGAACATACATGTAAAATTTTGTAGAGTATGAATTGACTATCAATTGTAAGGAAATCCCAACTGAAATTCCTTGATCCAAAGCAGATATATGTTCTTACATGAGTCCCAGGTTTCCCCTGTACTTAAATGCTTGAAACAATGCACAAGTGAAAGGCATAAAGATAAAGAAGATCTTTGGAAGAACAAAATAAGTAAGATCTCAAGGAAAGTTAAATCCTTTTTGTTTACCTGGTAGTTCTACCAATGAAATTGAACTACTTAACGTTGTTCTGTAATGTTATTTTATATTTTCAAGGGTATTTGTTTAGTGTTTAAAATCAGCACACAGAGAGATGCATTATTGAATAATTAGATTCAGGTAAAGCCACATTTTTTGGTAACTGGATGATAATATAGGCTTTGTAACAATACCCTTAAAAATAAAAATTGAATAAAACATTGAATCCAAGTGCAGAAGAGCAACGATTCCCAAGGAGAAAAAAAAAAAAAAAAAAAAGAAAAAGAAAAAACACACAGCATCTGATTCAATCGATTCTTATTTATTTGACATGTGAGGAATCACATTTTTTAAAAGGCTAATCTATGCTTGAATCATGATGTTACATACATGAAGATTTACAGTAACCTTTGCACATACATATCATTCCTGAAGACACAGGTAGTAATAATTTCTCACTAACACTTATAACCTATTGTAGCGCTACACATACATTGAACTATTTATTCCGCCAAATGGACCACTTGCTGCAGTAACCTACTACAGTAGCCCCAAGTTTTCCAAGCAAACCTGGGGCAGCTTCATCATCTTCAAACTCTCCATCCACACCTGCTTGTCAGTAATAAAGCACTTATACACGGAGATTAAAAAATGAATATTTTGCCAGCAAGCATTGGACCCGAGGCTAAGACAATCACTATTAAAAATGTCTCACATCTAAATCAACTGTAAAACAAATTAAAATGTTTTTCCCTTGGTGTGTTTATCCTTATAAGGGCATTGCATTTAATATAACACTTTTGTAATCAAATGAAATCACATCACAAAGATGACATGAAGTCGAAGCTTTGTCCTGTATGATACACACGTACTACCCCAGTAGTTTCTGGATGGTATCACAAAAATTTTTATAGTGACCCATTTTTAAACAAACTTGAAGACAAATACTGTACATAAAATAGTGTGGACTACAGTCAAATCATATGCACTCTGGCAGAAGTCTACACAGTATAGAAATTATAATTACAGTGACTAATTATATAATACACATTATACACTGACTCTTAAGGATTGTGGAATAGCTTTTCATTAAAAGGTGTAACACAAATCAAAGGATCTCTGAAGTTATTATACTATCCCTGGTCTCATTCATCCATAAAACATAAAAAAATGGTACATTGCTAATTTTGATGTGTCTCCTGGTTTGAAAAAGAGGTTGTTTATAATGTACTGGTATTATAAAATGCAATATTGTACATTTTGCCAGTTATTCTACACAATAACATTATGAAACAATAACAATAAGTAGACACACCCAAGCTGAAACATAAATCTACTGGTATATGAATCAATTTCCATTTAAAATATATTCTGTACCTTAAAGTCACTGTAAAACTTGTAGATCTGTTGATTTTTATTGTGACACCAAAGAAATTAAGGAATGTTTTTTTAGCCTGGTTACTGTAAAAATAAACTATAAACAAGTTAAGGACAAGAGCAGATCTGAAATGTATAAAATGTTGGATCGCCCCTTCACCATGAGCACCTTAACCAAAGTGGTACATATAGAATAACCTTAACTACAAGCCACATTCAAGATCTTACTACAGGGGTGGGAGTTGTGAGTGGGTGGGGGGTGGGAGGGAGGGGGGTTGCTGTGCTTGGTAAGTATACAGTAGTTGAAGAGGGCAATTTAACTAAAATATGCAGAGCACAGGGATAAAGAGTGCTCGACCATGCTTCTTTTCACTTGTAATACTGTTTTCGATAGTAAATTGAAACTATTTTAACATTTATATATTGTTTTTTTTTTGTTTTCATGGGTGAGAAGGGGGTGCATACTCACTGTGGCCCCACCCCTGGGTCTGCTATTGCAAGAAAAAAGTAAATTCATTGTGACAAATTAAGTATTATATCACCAAAAATAATTGCACAGAGAGACAAAATAAAAGAATCAATATCAGGCCCGTAGCCAGGGGGGGGGGTTTGGAGGGGTTCAAAAGAACCACCCCTTTTGCTGGGAAAAGGTCCACTCTGGGTAAAATTTGATCTAGGTACATCACTTTTTTATGGAAAAAGGCCCACTTTTTCAGAAAAAGAACCCCCCTTTTGAAATTGCTGGCTACGGGCCTGAATATACTGTGGGATAAATCTTTCTACTGAATAACATATACTTAAGCAGATCTATTACATTATTTCCTCATATAAATGTGACTGAAACAGTCTTGCCTCTTTAAATCTGACAAAAATCTTCCATTGCATTAATTATCTCAACAAATGAACAATGTGGAAATGATTACTGATAACATTAAGACCATAATTAAATGAGCTTCTAAATCTTATCCACTGTACTTGCATATAAGGTTGTGACGGGACCACCCTGCATTATCACTGATTGCTTAATATTGTATACTCTCTGAGAACATATGAGATCATTTTATAAGGTTATCCTTTAAAAGTTTATCATACTGTCATGATATTTTTTAAAGAAGAGTCATCATCAGTATCTTTCACCAACTGGAATTTTTTCAAGGTTTACCAGATATAATAATAATAATAATAATAATAATAATAATGATGTTGAAATCCTGATTTTTCTTCCAATCCAAAATACCTTTCCAATTTTCCAAGCCAATTGTGCACCCTGAAAATGATTAAAAAATGTTGAAATACTGTCCTGTTAATATCCCATCCTGGGCATTTATCAGGGCCTGGGTTCTCTTAGTGTTTTGGCCTAAAATATACCAGCTTGGTTAACATGGAGGTTATGCATGGGACCTGTTTCTTCTTGCTCATTGCCTTGGAGGCTGCATTGGACTCAAACTCATAGGCCACCTTCCTGTTAACAATGGTCATCAAGCTTAGGATGTCCAACTGTTGACCGTAGTCTCCCAGGACCTGAATGAGTGCCTGCATGAACCAAGATCCGTTCATCGAGTTACGCCAGGAAAAGAAGCCTGGAAAAACATTCAATTATGTCTATAACATTTGTCAAGAAGAAGGTTATCTTTTTATTGGTGTTGGTGTGTGTATGCTCATTTGTCAATAGACGTGTCAGGATAAACAAAAGGCAAAAAAAAAAAAAAAAAAAAATTGAAAACATTTTTAGCTTAAACCAGGTCTCCTACCAGGATATTTTAACATAAATTCTACTTGATAAGTTGTTTTTTTGCTTTAGTGGGGTGTTCTTTAGTTTCATATATAATAAACATTATATCATATCATATCAGATTCTGTAGATTTTGTTTATAATTTTCAGTCATGAATTTTCTGCCAATCAAACCTTTGTACAATTATTGCTTCACCATTTCTCTCATTTTCCTCTTTTAACAGTAGGACAAATACATAATGTTTTACATTAAAGAGGTTTGTACACAATTGTATATTAACATTTACTTTATTAAAATAAAACTTTTGATCTCAGGTATTTATCAACCATACCTACCTGGCACCACAGAGTAAGCAATGAGGAAGTCTGCCTCAGCAGGAATTCTGTGCACATGGGTCCTACCGTCTTCCCACATTTCTGCATCAGCGACCTCTACACCTCCGTCCAGTTTAGTGCCTCGACAAGCCTGCAAAATAAAACGGAGTGTGTAAACGAAAGAGGAATCCTGCTAGTCCAAGGCAACTGCATAACTTGGGACATTTTGACATCAGGAAATTTGTTCAAGTTAAAGGGATAATAACTCTTCATATGAGATCTATATTTCACAATAAAAACATTGTAAACAACTCATAAAAATTAAATATATTCTGTTGTACCACAAAAACGGCAGTTATAGCTATTATTCTGATATCTGAGCTTGTCTTTAGACCACGTGACTTCCACTGATGGCTGTACTCTGTTATAATCTCTTAAGAGATTTTCACAAAAAACCAAACATTTTAGAAAAAAACCAGGGACTAACTTTGAATGTAGAAATGGATTCATTAACCATTGGTTAGTATGGGAAAATTGTTGTTTACTCATGGAAAATTCATTTTTTGGCCAAAATGAAGAGTTATTATCCCTTTAAGTAAAGATTCAAGTTAGGCGAGATTCATATTAATGCATCCCTGGCACGACAACAAATGTACACCCAAACCCAATATAGAGGTGCAAACGATGTCACAGGCATGTTCCTAAAAATATTTAGTGCATAGATTACAAACTATGTTTGATTATTTTAGGGTCCCACATAAAGAAGTTTGTATTAAAGTTTCACTTTCCTGGAACCACGAATAATAAAAAATAATTCATCATCTAACCCCAAAAAGGAACATACGTTACTGTCACAAATGCATAACGTCTTGCTGTGGAAACGTTTTAATCACATTGAAAAATCAATCATCACGGGTTTTGTTCTTTAATTTATCTTCTACAAGTATAACGTTGTAAAAAATTACGAAAAGCTTCTNATGCTGAAAAAAGTGAAAAAACAGCGTAACTTCCCTAAAAATGACCCGATCATGCTGATTTTCGAACTTGACCTGCGTATTATGCATATTCATCAGTTTCATAAGTTTCAAGCCAAAAGGTAAAACGGTTTTCCACTTATCGTGTTATCGGTGTTGCATATATGCTGAAAATAGGGAAAAAACAGCGTAACTTCCCTAAAAATGACCCGATCATGCTGATTTTCGAACTTGACCTGCATATTATGAATATTCATCAGTTCTGTAAGTTTCAAGCCAAAAGCAAAAACGGTTTTCCACTTATCGTGTTATCGGTAAAAGTGCACGACGGCGACGACGACAGACGCAGATGATGGCTATATGTACAGACACATCTGTGTCTGTACATAAAAAAAAGTGGAATGAAATTTAAAGGCACAATCCAAAGTGCAAAGTAAATCAAAATAAAGAATATGATTTTTTTACCAATACAAGAAAGTATGTTGTTTAAAAAATGTCCAAGAAATTTAAATTATCAGAAAAATATATAACACAGTTGTGAACATTTATTTTTATCTCCAAACAACTTGGTCCATTTGCCTCTAATTTACAAACATTCTAATATTTGTGTATGCGCCACATCCTCCCTCAACATACTCAATTTACAAGAAATTTTCTTGTGTTTTCAATAGCTCCATAAATATAACCCATACTTTCTCAAAAACAACAAGCAACACTGACTCAACTCAGGGGCGGATTTAGGCCGTCTTCTGGGTCTTCCGGAAGACGGTCAGATTTTTAAGTTTACATTGACGGGTATCTATTATTTTCTGTCGGAAGACGGTCAAAAATTGAGGACGAATTAACAAAGATTATTTGGAAGACTGTCAGAAAATATCTCTGGATCCGCCCCTGCAACTAACCTGAATGAAAATGAGCTTTGGTTTCCCTGCTAAAGTCAAGCATCTGTCACCCTTGAGAGGGGCAAGTAGCTGGTCCACCTCTATAATGCCATCTGTGCCATACACTTTCCCCTCCTCACCATGTGACAAAATTACCAAAGCCACACAGTCATTTTGGGAGTGATTTCTGCGTCCAACTGAAATAATAATAATAATAATAATAATATACCATTTTCAAATATTCTATATTTTTCATATTTTACTCTTTTCAAAACACTCTTTTCATATTTTTCCAAAGGAAAATAAACTGCAAACAACCTCACATTCCAGAGATACAGTAAGCAATTCTGAAAGCATATATATGGTAAAAACTTCCTGCAAGCATAAGGCAAGACACTAAAGTTGGAGTTGAGGAATTATTTAAAAGTATATATACACCCATGGTTAAAGGGAAACTGAAATTAAGGTTAATCTTTCATAAATTATTGTACAGTGTACTAAGTACACCTTTCTTTTACTTGATGATTTCTTGCAGATACTCTGTTGATGTGATCATATATTAAGAGACACAAAGGTAACATAAAAATTAATTACTGAGAGACACCTTAATTGCTAATTATTAATCACTATCTAGAAAAAGATGCAAGGAACTGGCTGCTATGAAGTATGAAAAACATATGACTTTGTGTAGAAAGTTAAAGGCTTACTTCAACAGCTATAGGGTAAATTGCACAAAAACAAGATTTTATTACTCCGTACCATCGGCCATAGTCATCGACATCCTATAACAAGTCACATTGTCGAAGCGATGCACGTCAAATCCCAGCGCGCGAAGTCTGTTCTCAATCCCATTTGCGTCCTGGTCCGTGCCGCGTCTCTCTGCCATACCTGTATGTGACGCAAAGTTGCGGTTGTTGAAAATGACGGCAAGGCCTCTATTTTCATAAGTCATGGGATACTCCATATCGTGGTCTCCACTGGAACTAACTTGCTGTGGCCTGCCTGCCTCTGGAGCAACTCTGAGACTGGAAACATTGGAAAATCTCTATAGAACTGTATGTTTTCTATAGATGGAATATTAGGCAGAATTACTTATATCTTGTAATTTGATATACTTGATCAAAAATCCATTATAACTGTATATATTGTACCTTTATAGTGTCTACAAAGTATAAATTTAGGAATGATCTGGGTGAATATTGTATCTATATCACTTGTATTATATTGCATCTTTTAAAGTACCAACATTGCATCTTTATAATAACTTCCCAGAATCTGTATTGTGCACATAATGTATCTTTAAAATAACTATGTTGTATCATATGTAAACTACATAAAAATGTCTATATTATTGTTGAGTGATCAATAAATACCCTCTTCTACTGAGTGGTGCATCAGTGATGTCCCCATGTCCTGAAATGGTTGAAAGAAAATATCATCTGTCTGACTCTGTCTTCTAGTGACTGAAGTTAACACCCAAATGACCCGCCTTTTTTATTATTATTATTATAATTTTTTGGGGGAGCAGGCCCTTTGATTGCAATACTTATAACGTCAATGACCAGTTAAACATTTATAAGTGAAACACAAAGGAAAGTACACACATGGAAGAACAGACTGAGAGAGAGAGAGAGAGATTATTATTATATGAAAATGATTAAAACAATAAAACCTGATCATGAAGAGAGAGAAAGAGAGAGAGAGAGACTGACACTCACACACACCCATGGGTGCGCTGCAAGTAGTGACCTTCCCTTTCCCTTTCAGATCTTTCACTAAATCCCATTCTTATTAAATATTTTCACAACTACTGTATGTCAAATAAAAAGAAAATATTTGTAAAGAGGTACATACCATCCTCTGTGTCATCCATGGTATTGCTTTTTGTCCTGTGATCTTATCTTTGTGATGTGTAGGTACAGGTAAATAAAGTCTGTCTGAATACCTGCAGATAAAACGCCAGCTTTTATACAAAAGATTACTAATAAACTGCCCACGTATCTGTCACCCAGTTTTATTTTTCAGTGAACAAAGTTACTGAATTTATAACTAGAATTAATTTTTTTTGACTTCTCAACAATGTCTTCTGATCGTGTTTAAAATAGAATGTTTACTCCCACCTCAAATAAGTACCACATATAGATTTTAAAACCTGATGAGTCGTATACATAAAAATACCTACAAAATATATGAATCATTTATAATAAGAAATAACCTCGGGATTTCCAGACCATTGTGATTCCACTCAACAGGCATTAGACTTCCCATTTAGTGAAAAAAGTCAGAAAGGGGGCCATCTAAACCAATGATATTTTTAGCTCCAAAACAGTCAAAAATCCGCCAATACTTGGAAAAACCTCATCCCTACTCAAACTAATGGGAGAATGGGAATACCCAACACTGACCAAGGGATGTGTTTTTTTTTCTTATTTCAACACTTCCAGCACAAACTCAATGATATCTTTCATTTCAAAGGATATACTGCATCCACAGTCACTTTCTGTGATAACGCATGGTGTTTAGTCTCAGGGGAAGTGTTTGAAATCATTTTCAGGAAAAATTTAATTTTTGTTACGCAAAGATATAACACTCATTGTGCAATATTAAACTGAAAAGTGGGTAACTGATAAGATATCTAAACATTCAAAGCAGTGTATGTGACCTGGATTTCAACAGAATTATCATCAATTACATACTTCAATTATATTCAACTAATCGTTGGGGTTACTATAAATTTTAACTCAAATTAATCAGCAAGTATGAAAGTACGCATCATATTGGTGTTACGTTGTGTAACCACAGTCAAAACAATGATTCATCGACAACCCGTTAAAGAACAAAGAAACAGGTCAACGGAACGCTTTTGTTTACACGTAGATTACGTTAATACAGCTGTATTAGGCAAGTCTTGACATGCCCCTTTCATATTCAGATGTACTATAACTAATGAAAATGGAATTACATTTTTAATAGTAACCTCACATATTCCTTACCTGAACTAGTATCCCGAAATATTGCTACAGATTATTTATTGTTTAAAAGTTTAAAATGACTAGTACACACTGATAAATGTTTTCCGAAATCGAACTAGATTAAAGCTATCTGGCAATTAATGCCATGAAGTTGTATATACACCACTATTTACCTTGTGTGAACTAAATTGAACTCTTCTGTGTTTTTGCATGAATTGACGTTTTTGCGTCCAGTAGTGTAATATACCACGACAGCCGAAGCGCTTTGGTGACTAACAAAAATAATCGCAGATTTCCATTTTACCGGAAGTTAATCGTATCGGCGGAAGCACAGTATATCGGTCATGATATGAACAAGAAAAGCCCATTTCAATTGCTGGAAGGCAAAGTTTGTTGTCATTGTCAGGATTATTCAGTCTTTATTTTTCAGAATGAGAGCTGTCAGCAAAATCTAATCCCAATAAAAAGGCAAAAAAAAAAAAAAATATGTAGGAATTAAAATGTTTCCGAAATCCCCTCTAGTATCGTAGAGACTGTGTCCACAGACCATCGTAATTTTCCCCAACGATCGAGGAAGGCCTAGATTTTTTTCAGCTGCTAGTCTAGATACAGTGTGCCTTTTATTGTTATTTTGTTATTGTACGTGTATGTATATGGATGTCTGTAATTTTATTTCAATTGTTTATCTTTTTCTTATCTATTTTTTATTTCCTCACTATAAACCTTTTCTTTTTTCCTTTTTTTTTCAATGTAACCTTTCATTCATTCATACAATCATTCATTCATGCATTCATTCATTCATTTTTTAAATTATTATTATTATTATTATTATTATTATTATTATTATTATTATTTTGTAAATGAACAGTACGTGATGCCCAAATATTTCACTTTCGCGACTTCTTAACTGACATGCGATAAGCCTAACGGCAGGCCTACTATACTGTAGTGTAGGCCTACGTGTAGGCCTACTGTACAGTAGGCCCTATAGCACAAAGTGGATTATTGAAAAACAAAAATAAAATAAAGAACGAAATATTCACTACAAGCATGATTTTATTCAAATCATATGACAATGGTGCAAATGTCTGACATAATGTCCTATTCAAAATGTTTCAAAATTACTGATAGGCCTACCCAGGGATAATTTCATAAATTCTGATGTGCCGGCCAGTATAAAAGTAGGCCCTACAGTACGCGGTCCTCTGGTAGAAGGGAAGAATTTTCTTTGAAGGATGAGTAATTCGATATCAGAAGGAATAAACTGTTTTTTACTTGACTGGTTGCAAATGGATCGACATGCTGTGTTCGGTTCTGAAAATACAATAATTGTGTAATTAAAGTAGGATTTATCGAAGTACAATGGCGGTCCTACATGCAGGCCTATGTTTAGAGGTAGGGATTAACTTTAAACTAATCGATTTTTAGATTTCCACTCGTTATGTTACGTGCATTTTATTAGGGTCTACATTCTCTATTAAGACCAGGAGTTACAGACCCGTAGCCAACAATTTCAAAAGGGGGGTTCTTATTCTGAAAAAGTGGACCTTTTACCATGAAACCTTTCGAACCCCCTGACCCCCCTGGCTAAGGGCCTGAGTTAGAACTGATTAAGTTTACATCCACATGTTGCAGCAACTGCTACACGTCAGCGACATGTACATGAATCTAAAGCAGCTACAAGTATGTATACTAATTAAATGCTAGGAATAAATTGCGTTACAATTCTTTTTTCTGATTTTTGACCATAAAAATGAAGTATTACTGGACATTAATTAACTCCTAAGTTACCTTTCAAGCTTTATTGTTGAGCAGGTCTTGAAGCTCAGCGAGCTCCTCCTCGGACATCCCATCCAACTCATTGTCCAGTTGGTTACTTTCAGCGTCCTCGGTGTCCGCAAAGATATCGTGATTGAGCCGTTCTGAAATAAGGAGATGTTTGGTTGAACTGGGAGTATATTTATGTGAGTAAAATATATTTTTCTAATTTTACACACACATCGAAGCACACGAACATTACTCCAATGAAATTTAAGTGGAAAAGATGCAAATGTATGTTTTTTTTTCTTTGCTAATTCAAGAGACCTCGGACTGTCTTGGATGGTCCCCTTATACAGTTTATATTAGCGTAAGTTACCAGTAGGCGGCGGATAAAGGGCTAGCTTTGTAACACACCAGGGAATTAATGAAAATACTGGGGCATCCGAGGAATGTGCTCCTGCTACCATTGAAGGTACAAATACTAATATTACTCCCCTCGCCCCCCAAAAAAAAGGTAGAGAGAGAGAGAGAGAGAGAGAGAGGGTAGGGGGGGCAGAACGAGAG